GAGCCTCAAAAGCGGTAGGGCATGTCTCAAAATTGGGGACCCCCCAAAATGGTTGGCTTTGCGGTTTCCTATTCCCAATCAAACTTGGGTACCCTCGAAGAAAGACACACACAGACATAAAATGGACACCACCATTAGGTTGTGTTGTTTACGGAAGACTTCACAAATCCCGTTGAATCCAGGTGGACCGCCTCTGGATCCAGATGGATGCCGCGGCGCGCATTCCGGGAGGCGCCCGGGCATGTTCGTTGGTTTTTCAAGGGAATCCCAACAAGGAACACTACCCTTTTCAGGCCATGTGCCTTTGGTCTCTTCGTTGGTTTCCCGATTCCCCTTTTCTAGTCCTATATTCTGTAATACAGGGTTGCTCCGACACCTACAAGATGCAAACCACCTTTGGGTGGAGCATTGGTCAACAGCTTCCTTTGGTTTCCCGGGGGCCAAATGCCAGACAAGTCCAGACGTAGAAGCCCTTAGGGCCTGGAGGGGATAGCCATGGACTCCATAGACGGAAAGCGATGTTCAAACAAGTGCTTGACCGCCCAGAAACGCCCATGGCCAGCCCTCCAAATGGCTTTTGGCAGCTCATGTTGGTTCCCGGCTTTTTCAATTGACCCCAACAGGATTCCAGGGTTATCTCCTTAAAACTATGGTACGTCAATCTTGCTCCCAAATCAATTGGCATGTTCCCACGTTCTGAGACAACCTCAGTCAAAATACCAGCTGCGCTGGTTGGCTGCAGAGGTCCCTCACCCAACGTCTCCCGCCCACCCCTCCCACCCCTCTCCCACCCCCCTTCCGCCCACACCCACCCACCCACACCCACCCACCCACACCCACCCACACCCACACCCACCCACACCCACACCCACCCACACCCACACCCACCCACACCCCCACCCACCCACACCCACACCCCCACCCACACCCACCCACACCCACACCCACACCCACCCACACCCACACCCACCCACACCCACACACTCACACCCACACCCACCCACACCCACACCCACACCCACCCACACCCACCCCCACCCACAACCAAACCCACACCCACACCCACACCCACACCCACACCCACACCCACACCCACACCCACCCACACCCACACCCACCCACACCCACCCACACCCACACCCACACCCACACCCACACCCACACCCACACCCAACCCCACACCCACCCCCACCCCCACCCCCACACCCACCCACACACCCACCCACACACCCACACCCACCCACACACCCACCCACCCCACCCACACCCCCACCCACACCCACCCACCCCACCCACCCACACCCACACCCACCCCCACCCCACCCACACCCACACCCACCACCCACACACCCACCCACACCCCACCCACCCCCCCACCCCCACCCCCACCCACCCCCACCCACCACCCACCACACACCCCACACCCCACCACACCCACACACCCACCCACACCCACCCAACACCACCACCCCACACCCCACCCACCCACCCACACCCACCCACCCACCCACCACCCACCCACCCACCCACCCACCCACCCACACCCACCCACCCACCCACCCACCCACCCACCCACCCACCCACCCACCCACCCACCCACCCACCCACCCACCCACCCACCCACCCACCCACCCACCCACCCACCCACCCACCCACCCACCCACCCACCCACCCACCCACGGGCAGAGTCATCTGCTCAGCTCCCGCTACCTCGCTCTTTGCGACGGCGGGGCCCTCGGAAGTCGAGCCAGACGTTGCGCGGCCTTGTGTGCAGGCCGGTCGCTCGACAAGCGCACACACACACACCACACCACCCACCACCCACCATAGCACGCGTGCGTGCGCTCTGCACGAGGCGCAGTCTCAAAGCGAATCAGACTAAGACTGCATCCCCGGCTTTTGCACTAATTCTCGTAGAAGCGCGGGAGGAATGACAAAAACATCGCATTTGCGCTGTTTTCTGCATAGTGGCCCCGGCCCCGCTTGCGCAGAAACCCCGCTCACTTGTTTCCAGGGGGCCTTTTTTTCAGGGTTTGAGCAATGCAGGCGATGCAAGGGACCCTTGCAAGGGATGCAAGGAATGTTGGAAAGCTCAGATGCTGGTGATGCAGGAATGCTGGGGATGCTGGTGAAGTTGGCGTACAGTGTCTTTCAGGAGCTCGTTACCAGGCCAAGGATGCCGGATGCCGGGATATGTTTTGGGGTCCAAATGTTTGGGCTGGCCTGCGCGCAGGTGATGCAGGCAAAGACGAGGAAGAGCTTGGGGTGCAACCGTCAGCGGTATACCCTACGGGTACTGTCGCCCTCGCTCTTCGAGCCCGAAGACACACAGTGCAGCTGGATTTTGGAAACCCACAGTTTGTTGGGAGTTGTCCCAGTTTTTTCAATGTAGGAGAAACACTTGGATGCCCCAATGCTGCATTCACCGCTTGTTTCACTCGCGAGTCAGGCAAGAAGGAGTCTGTCCCTAGCTGGAGCCACGAGCGCTTGCGAGCAGAGGGCAACGTGGCATCACCAAACGTGAGGTTCGGTCCGTAAATGTCTCCACAAAAGTCGCATGTCACCCACAAAACCGGGGCTGAGCGCGATGCTTTTCTTGCCATAGGACACGGGCGTTCCCTGGAGCGAACTATCAGAGTTTTTTGGACGATTTGGACCGACTTCTTTCAATTTGGTATATGAACATGCGCTTTACATACTGAATATCTAGTTGGTCAGTATGAGTTTCCCAAGGCCAAAAACTGATAAACCCACACCAATAGCACATGGAAATTTCCTACTACAGTCGTACAACTGCTAACGCTTGACCAAGGGCATCTATTGGGGAGGTTTTTTGGAAAGGGCGGTCGGTGGCTGGTGCAGCGTCTGACTTGACCTTGTCTCAGTTGCAACCAAACGGAACCGACAACAAACTGAAGCCAATTTTCTAGTTTCTGCTTGGAACCCGCTTTGTGTTTGTCGGGTATCCACCGAACATGTGTCCAAAAAGCGGTCAAGGGGATTGCGCCTTTTGAGCATTTCCAGTAAAATCGAAAATATAGGGACCCCGGAGAGAGTTTGACTGTCGGAGGCCGTTCCATTTGTTTTGGTGCGAATCGTGCTGAACTGACCAACCTTGCGGCCAGAACTGGGCTCCAGTTTTTGTTTTTTGTTTTTGTTTTCCGAAAATGTCCCCTTTCTGGAAGGATCGAACATTACAGTTGCATGCGCTAGCATACCACGTTGGCATGAACAACTGGTTGCGAAATTGGTAGCTGCTAGTTGGCAAGCGACCAACAGTTCTACTCCTCGCTTTGTGCGGTGTGTTTCTCAGAGCACTGGGATGTTTGCAGGGTTGTTTGGATAGAGGGTTCCCACCCCCACCCCACTGAGGGGGCCCCAACTGGTTTCCACATGGACAGTGCAAGTGCGCCTTAGAAGCGAAGAAGTTTCGGAACGACAGATTTTAACTCGTTGGATTTGCAGTAAGTGTTGCTTACAGGTTAGGTGGGTGGAGGACTGTAGAGCTGAGCAACAAGCCACGGGCTCAGGGCCCTCACCCCTAGCAGGCTCAATGAATCCCAATCCCTCACAGCCCTTTGCTTCAACAAAAACCGCTGGCGAATGGATATGGCTGCCCGGGCGTGGGGGTGTACGTGGTGGATTCCCGAGTATATATTCCGCAAGCAAGCAAGCAAGCAAGCAAGCAAGCAAGCAAGCAAGCAAGCAAGCAAGCAAGCAAGCAAGCAAGCAAGCAAGCAAGCAAGCAAGCAAGCAAGCAAGCAAGCAAGCAAGCAAGCAAGCAAGCAAGCAAGCAAGCAAGCAAGCAAGCAAGCAACAAACAACCCACTCAGGGGGATTAGCCTAGCTGCCTGGACCCTCAAGAGCTACTCTTACAAAAAGGGAAAACAATACCAGTAATCTTGGGTTAGCCCATGTTAAGGGTGTCAGTAGATGTGCTTTAGCCTCCAAGTCTCAGTGTCTCATGAGTTGCTGCGCAGTGCATGTGAACATGCGTTGCATTTAACTTCAAGCAATTGCTTTGGCCATTAGTTCATTTCATGGACGCGTCTACGTGTGATGACACGCCGGTGAAGACTGGCGGCCTTTGCCTTGGAAAAGGGCGAGTGTGCGAGCTGCCGATTGGGGCGGCTGTTGGTCATTGACGTTGAGATTGGCAGCGGAGCCGATCACGGACCAGAGCCTTTGCAACAGCCTGCGGGGCACCTGGGGCGAGAGAGAGAGGAAAGCCAGAGGAGGTCGCCATGAGCATCATCTCCGGGAAAGACTTCTTCGTCACGTGGGACGGATCTCCGGAGAACTGGCAGGACTACTGCCGGAAAGTCCGCCGACAACACAAAAAAGACGCAGGGCAACAAGAAGCGCTACTTGGGCACGGAATTAGCCAGCAGATTGACTGGACGCGCCTAGACTGCTGTGTCAGGTTTGGACCATGAGCGCCTTCGTCGCAAACAAGGTGCCAAGTACTTACTCAAGCACTTTCAGGACCAGCTTGACAGCAGTCCCCAATGCCGGAAGCAAGTTGGAGGAGCTGCTGATTCGCATGAAGCGACCGCTTGGCATGAGCATGAGTGAATTGGCCAACCAGGTTCGTGAGAGTTACCGCCGTGTGCAGCGTGCCCTTCTTCGTGCCAACAGCATCACCGGCACCTCCACCTGGACTAGCTCCACCTGGTGGATCTTGTGCTGGTTCTGAACATGGTGATGAACGACACACTCATCTCCGAGTGCACCACCGACCACCAAGGAACGGACACAAGCGCCTGCTGATCAAGAAGAAGATCCGGAGACAGCAGGAGAAGGATGATGAAGAGAGTGCTTCCTATTGGTGGTGGACTCATGAAGAGTGGAAAGCGTGGAAATCAGCAAAACCTGCGAGTGATGAGGGCGACTCCTACATGGAGACAGACGACCAGGAAGACGACATCCCTTGGGCAGACTTGGAGATGGAGGAAATTCAAGTTCTTCCAGATGAAGTGCTGGGTTGGCTTTTGCTGCGCTGTGCAAACCTGAGCGCTCAAAGCCGTCTCTCAGTACAGGCTTTGGTGGCCAGCAGATTGAAATTCGACGCCATCGAACGAGCACTTCGAGATCAGGCAGAAGAGCTAATTCACAATGTGCTGAACGCCGAAATCTTTCTGGACGTCTCAACGTCAGACCTTCTGGGTGGAAGAAGATGGCCAGTGGGGCATGTCTCTGACACAGCCTGTCCTCATGGAAGAGTTGTTGAAGAATGTCCATTGGGTTGGAGATCATCCCCGAGGAGACCATGGGCATCACCTTGGAGGACGGCGACGCTGAGGAGGAGATCTTTTGCGCCTGGTTCTCCTACTGGCAGGGCAATGTGTACGAGACCGATGGCCTTGGCAACTACTGGTTTCCTGAACATCCTGAAGGTTCTCAATCAGATCAGACACCGGCCGCGGACCAGAACGACACCTTTGCCATGATCCCGGAGCATCGGCCACCGACGTTCCCAGAGTCACGGATGTTGACCAAGGCGAAAGGGAACCCCGCGGCTTCTACCCCCTCAACGTCATCAAGGGCAAGGGGAAGCACAAGTCCAAGTCCGGCTTCAAGGGCAAGTCCAAGTTGAAGGGTAAGCCCAACGTGTTCCAGCATGATGTCATGGCTTCGGTCGGACAAACTGGATACACGGGCTGCTTCATCTGTGGCGATCAAAGGCATTGGTCTTCATCCAGCACATCTCCTACGTTCTGGAGTTCTCCCTGGGCCAGAACGATCTACATGCTGGAGAATGTGAATACTGATGACAGGAGCAGAAGCAGATGGAGACCGCCAATGGCACGACAAAGACGGTTTCGGAAAGAGTCTTGAGGATAATGTGAACGAGATCATCATGCAGGTTCAAGACACGAAGAGCATGAACCCCCTCCAGGACACAACCGGCTTTGGGGTTATCGATTTGGGTGACACAGAGACCGTTGGCAGTCTGGATGTATTGGATGGCCTGATGAAACTGCGCGTGAACTCCAAGAACAAGGGAGCGTTAGTAGTTCTCCCTGAAGGCAAGAAAGCTTTCCGTTTTGGCAATGGGCAAGTACAATGGGCTCCTTCCGCAGATCTTGCACCTCGGCATCTACACCTTGCAAGCGGAGAAAGTCCCCATCCTTCTGGGCATGAGGACGATGGAACGCCTTGGAGCAGTGATCGATGTAGTCGGAATTTTGGTCAACATTGACCCCAGCATGCGCATCCCGTTGCAGAAGAGCACTTCGGGACATTTGTTGGTCAATTTGACCTGCAAGGCCGCCGAGGCACACTGGCTGAAGGCCGAACTTGAGAAACTCGATGACAAGTCCGCCGCTAAAGCGTATGTTACATGGCCGAGCAGCTTTTGCATGTGAGTGTTGAGGAGGAAGCCCCACAACCTGAGCAAGCACCTTTACATGTTTGGTCATGTGCCAGCCACACCATGTCATTGCAGCAGATCAGGAAACAGCTTCCTTTGACTGACATGTGAACTTCCTCAGAACCGGCAGATGGGTTCAAGAACCAAGCTCGGGCTATGTCGTGGACAAGGGCTTTGGCAAGGGAGCTTCAAGGAACGCGGAAGTTTCGAAGGTGCCCGGACCGAAGATAAAGGCCAAGGATCCCGAGATCTACCAGCTCAAGAAAAACCGGACCGTGAAGGCGCCGGTGAGCGAGCGCTACAACTCCGCCCGGACCACAGGTCCAGATCCTCGAGATCCACGAGTTTCAGGAGTGCCTGGCATGGGCAATCACAAGGTGGCGAAGATGCACCGAGGCAGCCAGTCGGGATGCGACGCACATGCGATCTGGGAAGCTTGCGAGATATGTCACTTGCGGCTCTCCTCCCGCGTACGGAGCACACGGGCTTCATCGGAAAGCGGGACCTCTCCCCACGGATGTGTCCAAGCAGGTGGGAACGAAGCGCCCTACAGCGACCAGCTGAAGCGGTGGGCCCGGAAGCTTCAGGTGGTGCAAGCGAAGAAGCAGGCGTGGCTGAACACCTTGAGCACCACAGCAACTGCCCAGGCCATTGCCACAGAGAAGCGTGTCTCGGTGACGGAGGATTCCCGGTATCCGGAGATGGGCATCAGTCCAGGACGCAAGATGGTCAGGCGACACCAGCTCGACGCGGAGCAAGAGTACCAGGACCGTACCACAATCGAAGGTGGAGGACCTGACCAACGAGATCTCGAATGAGAACTAGGAGCCTGGAGCCCGGCGACCAAAAGATGCTCAACAGCACGGTGAACACGCTCACGGAGGAGATCAACATGGAATGGAGTAGCCTCCCAGACCTTTCGGTCGGACATCATGGAGAGGAGGATAGTGGTGTCACCCGTGCTGTGGAACTACGGCATGGACACGAATTTGTGCAGGACTGCACAATGGTTGTGACTTGCTCACAAAAGCAGGTCGGAGGAAAGCGAACGCATTGCTGAAGGAATGGAGACCGAGAGTTTTGTGGTCAGTTTCCCTTGCGGGCCCACTTCCCAGATTCAAGAGCTC